CAAGGTCACCGTCAAGTCCGTTAGTTGATTTTCTACAACTTTTGTATTTAAAGTTTTTCATGAAAATTTGATCCTGCATAGTTATCCGTGGGTTCCGGTATTTTTAAGACACCCTGTATGAATTATAAGGATAAAATAAAAACAGATAATTTCATATTTTGTGATCACAACCTCAGAAAATAAAACAAGCAAAACGGCCGCTGGAAACAGACAGCTACAACGTTACCATAAAAATCTCAAAAACAGAGGAAGCAATACCAAGTACAAGTACTTCAAATCGAAACCATTAACGGTGGTTAAAATTGATGAGAAAATGACGCCTCTTAAATATTTTTGTGAAGAAAATTCGTTTATATATTACATAATGTAATATTGTAATTTACAAAAATAAACATTTATGTAAAAAATAATTTTGAAAAAACCGTAACCGAAAGCGAAAAAACCGTTGTTTTAAATGGTTCCAGATCCCGTTATGCCTAACCGGAGCGAAACCGAAATTGGGAATCGTTACGAAATATCTTGTTGGACCGTAACCGTAACCGGACCGAAATTTTGTTTCTGTCCGAATCTCTGTTTCGTTTCGAACTGCGCCATTCGCGCGACAGTTCTTTTACACGCATAGAAGAAGAGGCACGCGATCGATTGAATAACTTATCAATTCGATGAATTTTAATTTACCGAATTTTATATCGGCCATTCACTGAATTCTGGTGGTTTATTAAATTTTTCATAATTCACAGAATTTTTCTTCAAGATATTTAATCACGATCAAACGGTCTCAGAGCGTCTCAGTTGACGCGTTGGTGCGGCCAGTCCTCAGGAGCGCTCGCCCGCGTACAAATCGATCACGTAAGGATCAAGTAAGTCTCAAAATTCGTCTCGTGCTGCATTCCGCAACGTAAGGAGGACCAGGTGAGTAATGGGAGTCGGAGACGGGAAAGTCGGAGATACTGACCTGCGCGATATCCTCTCGCCGTCAGCGCGAATTCTGCCTCCTGCACTGCCTCCTCTTTATTCCGTGCGATGTGTCCATTCCCCGATTCCGGCCTGCTCCCAGCTCGCTTCTTCCCCCGCGCGGCTGACTCGACAACTTCGTCAGAGAGTTCTGCCAATTTGCACCTGACACCTGCACGAATCCGTCTTGCCTCTGCGATTCTTACTGATCTCGCGTAATCTCTCGGCGCCGTTCGATAGTCCTTCGTTTCTTGGTTGCGCGTCATCTATCGTCGACGAACGATCCTTATCTCTCTCTATGCTCATCTATTTGATCTCTTTTTTTTTTACGGCGAGGCGGCGAGTGTACAACAAAGGTGACGGAGAAAAGAGGACGACGGACGTGACGACGCAGTCGTCCTCCTCCCGCCTGAGAGCTGCTTTACGCTGAACAACAGCCGAAGACAGGAAAATTCCTACTGACGCTAACGATTAATAAATATTGTTGCTCTTCCCCCCTCCCTCCCTCCCTCCCTCTCTCTCTCTCTCTCTCTCTCTCTCTCTCTCTCTCTGTCTGTCTCTCTCTCTCTCTGTCTGTCTCTCTCTCGTCGTTTCTCCTTCCGATCCTTATCGTAACTCCTCTTCGTTTTCCCTCATTGTTGTCGTTCGCTCCGTACAAATTGCGATTTTATTTACACGTACAATGCGCGCGCCGCATTGCGACGGTGATTAGAGCTTGTCGGGCGAATCGATATTTGTTCATTAGAGCGTGTGCCTCGCGAGATGCGGCCGTGTCGTGCCGAGGCGAAGCCCTCGCGCGCCAACCTAGCGAGAGGACTAGAGTGCGAACCAGGCTAGAGGAGAAGCCGCGCCTTGTCGCGCGTCCTCAGCAGGAGCGATCGCTCGATCTCTCCGAGCCGGACTCGGAAGCCGAGACATCGCTGACTCGATCGCGAACCAACTCCTTCTATCGCGAGAGTTTCGCCGACGATTTCGTCCACGAGTCGCCATCGACGACGGACGCGCAGCGGCGCGTCGCGGCCGGCGACAGGAGGCGGAATCTCGTCCTCGTTGCCGTCGCGATTTGTTTCGGAATAACCGAGGCGTGTTTCGCGCGTCGCCGCCGAGTATCGCCCGAAGATTCGATTTGGCACGTTCTCGATCCCTCGCGTGCCGTCGCGCGTGACTCTCGCTGGTGCTGCCGGCCGCGATCTTCGCCTTTTCGTTTTCGCCCTGCGGGGAACGGTGAAGTGCCGAAAATAATAGGCAGCAAAATAACAAAAGGCGGCGTACGTGTGTGTGTGTGTGTGTGTGTGTGTGCGCGTTCGAATACAAGAGAACGCTATCGCCCGCGACGTATCGATTCGCTCGACGCCCAAGAGAACACCGTTGCGAGATTGATGTCCGTTTCTACCAACCGTGGTTAATTTAACCGACTGATTATTCCATCGGAATGGACCAATCGCATTTAATAATTCTAGTTAATGACAAATGTGACTGGTCAATTCCGTTGGAGTAACCAACCGGTTAAGTTAACCGAAGTTGGTAGAAATGGGCATGAGAGAGATTTTTTCCCTTCTCTTGCTTCGTCTCCTCCGGCATTCTTGACTAGCGATTTGCAGCTTCAAATCCGTTGGATTCGAATGTTTTATTACCGTCGCGGTTCTCTCTCTCTCTCTCTCGCCGTTTCACTCCGCGCCCGACCTCGCAACAGTGTGTATGTTACGAAGCAACAATAAATAAAAGTTGCATAAAATTTATTAATCATCAATAATAAATAGATGTGACGCGACATTCACGGATGTATCGGCGGTGTACTTCAACATCTAGGAAACCTGCGACATACGTCGTCGCATGTTTCCTTGCTTTCTTGTTTTCTTTCCTATCGGCACACCCGGGACAGATCGGAGGAAATCGCGCGCGGCCTCTGCTCGCTGACCTCCGTCGCGATCCTGGCTGATCGTCCTTCGGCGCCTTCAGAGGCGAGATGATGCCTTCGCATCTCTGTCCCGGCTTGTTCGCGCGTGTTTGTCTTTTTCCATATGCGTTTCTCCCGTTAATTATTTATACTCTGCGAATGTGTTTGTGTTCGTTTCTCGGCGTAAACGCGTTGCGCCAGCGCGCTCATTTTATTTTAAGCTAACTACCAAAATAATAATCAGTATGATGACCAATATCGTCATGCAAATCGCTATCAGGAACAATTTCTGCAAAACAAAACAAATCCATGACCGTCTGAAGAAACAAAGGAAAATAAAAGAAACGAAAGAGAAACTTGAATCCATGGTTTGATCGAAATCGCGAGACTTCCGGCTGAGCGTTCAAAACGAGATGATAGTTTACACTTGGGTCACCCTATGTATGCCGAAAATTAAACAGCTTAACCCTTTGTGTCACAGCGAGACACATGTCTTATATTTTCTCGATTATATTTTGTAGAATTCATCAATTTTAATAATTCTTTTTTGCCATACATTTTGCTTATTCATTATTTGAATATTTAATTATGATAAATGTTCATTGATTTCATCAATATTATTTATATTTTCCTTGTTATAAACAAATTAAGACGAAAAAAACGTTTTTTAGGATAAATTCGTTTCTAAAAAAAAAAAAAAAAATCTCCCGTAAACATACTATTTTTTTCATCTAAATTTATGTTTTTGAAATCGCTGATTACTAATCCGCTATCAAATTTGAGAAAAATAAAGTATTTTTTTGTTATGAACAAAATATTGAAGCTAAATTTCGAAAATTTGTAAAATTACGCTGAAAAATTGATATTCCAAGTACTGTTTTTCTACAAAGAAGCAGTTTTCTATATTATATTTATCATTTTGAAATCGCTGATTACGAATCTGTTGATAAATTTTTGTTATATTAGTATTTTTCATATAAGCAAAATATTGAAGAAAAACAAAAATTGTGGAATAGCGTTGGAATTCGATAATCTTCAACGTTTTTCTTTTTACATTCATAGTCTTGAATTCTTTACATATGTGCAGATAGTTTGAAAATTTGTCGAATATTTTGCCATAAATAATTTATTTACTATTATTCCGGCGAATTATGACTTTTTTTGCAAAGGAAGCGACACATGTTTCTATATAAATTTGGATGTGCTAAACACGAATTTGCTGTTAGAATTGATCTAAGAATTCAATCTTGTCAGTGAAATAAGTATTTATATTTATTCCTAAGTAACAATCATATATTGTGTCGGACATGTTAGATCCCATTTTCCCGAAATTCGAATAACAGATTCGAAGTCAGCGATCCCAAAAATATGATGAATAATAATTTTTGTCCGGATTCGTCAACTAAATATCCTTTCAAGCCGCCATGTTGCATCTTCCATCTTGGATCACATTTTTTCAAAGTTCTGATGGCAAATTCGAACTCGGCGACCCTAAAAACGTATAGAATAATTTTTGTGAGAATTCGACCACTCACTTAATTGCGTGACTCAAAGGGTTAACTGGCCGTAAGCGGGCGAAATGTAATGCGGGCGCAAACGAGCCGAGTAGGATTTTTATCACAATTGGGAAAGAATCGAGTGAAAATTGTCGCCTTTGCTCTTGGCCGAGCAATTTCGCACGACTCGAAGCGGAAGTCTCGCGACCTCGCGAAATTATAGACGAAGGATAGCGAGTTATAGAGAGATGACGGTGCGCGGCGCACGTCGATGCGCGACAATAAATGTTATATTCCGGCAGAATTCCCTCCGGAAGGCGGATCGCTTTCCGCGGTTAATCGCGACACAAGCACGGTTCCGGCGCGGATCGCGCCAGTCGAAAAACCGACGAGACGGCGACCCCGTGTACAAGCGTGACCGCGGAAGGATCGCGCGGTCGAGGATCGCGTAATTGAGAGATCGGGGCGTTCCGCGACTACTCGAAGACGCGATCCGGAGGAACGTCGAGCGGCCTGATGAAGTGTACTTACTCCGTACAAAGCGGATGAATGCGGGTTATTGCGTTAATTAGTGGGTACGTTAGAAGATTAGTCGGAGGATTGTCTCGAAGATTGTGGAAACTTGGGTATATGTGTGTGTGTGTGTGTGTGTGTTATTAGGATCGACGCGGAACAGCCGAGTTTTATTATTTGCAGCATTTCATTCATTCATTCTTTCTCTCCTTTTTTTTCTCTTTTCTTTCTTTTAGTTTAGTTACACGTGCGACTTTCTAGCAGGATTCTTATCACACGAGAGAGCTCTCGCAGGCGACTGCCACCACCACAATTTCACGTGCATCACCCACAAACGGTACTTCCGATCACACTGCACATTTTTTATCCCACACCTGTCCTTTCCCCCGGCCTAATCACGAGCTACAAGTTTCTGCGTCATTATTGTTTTATTGTTATTATTATCGTTATTGTTGCTCTCTTGTAGCTGCTGATATTATTATTGTTATTCATTATTATTATTATTATTATTATTATTATTATTATTATTATTATTATGACATTTCTCTCGCAGCCGTTGCACTCGATCTCCCGTTCTCCCTCTGTCTCTTTTCTCCACTGACATTTTCAAGCGCCCCTCTTTCGCCCCCTCCCTCTCCCGCCCCTTCCGTTGCAACAATCCCCGTTGGCCGGTTACGATCTCGGAAGGAACGCTACTATTATGGAGATTAGTATAACCACCGATATTAGGACGCAGATTGTGATGAAGATCATTTTCTGTGGACAGAAAACAGAGGGGGAACCACGTGTAAGGCACGTGCGCGCGCTTTGTCGACGAGGATGCCGCGCGTGGAGCGAGGCTTAAGAATTAAAGTGACAGAGAGAGAGAGAGAGAGAGAGAGAGAGAGAGAGAGAGAGAGAGAGAGAGAGAGAGAGAGAGAGAGAGAGAGAGAGAGAGAGAGAGAGAAGAGAGGAGAGAGAGGAGAGAGAGAGAGAGAGAGAGAGAGAGGAGAGGAGAGAGAGAGAGAGGAGAGAGAGAGAGAGAGAGAGAGAGAGAGAGAGAGGAGAGAGAGAGAGAGAGAGAGAGAGAGAGAGAGAGAGAGAGAAAATAGAGTGAGGGGATCTGTGTCGAATATACTCTTGCACGGCGTACCTGTGAGTGGGGCGACACACATCCTTTGCCTTCGGGAAATCGGACGAGCAACAGAAAAGAAAAAAAAAGAAAAAAAAAGAAAAAAGAAACGAGAGAAAGAGAAAAATATGTATTTTCGACGACGAGAAATATATAAAAATACGAAGAAACTTGCCGATTATATGCGAGTGCAGTGTATCGGAAATCAAAATTCAAAAGCTCGCGGGGACAAGATGCGATGGGGGGAAAAGCGTGTGAGAGGCGTGTTGCGTGGTGTGTTCGTTCATGCTGACTTGCGCGTGTGTCGTTGCGATGCAGACAAGTGACGCACTTTCGTCGGAAAGAAAAGGAAGAAAAGAAAAGAGATACCCCGACGCGATGCTGCAGATGTTTCTGCTTTGTAAAAATATCTCTCGGGAAATGCGAATCCTGCGAGATTAAATGAAGGGACAAGCGCGAGTGTACTCGAGAATTCGGTGGAAATAAGACAGAACGAGAGAAAGACAAAGAAAGAAAATCGTGATTAGTTTCAAAAATTAAATTAGAATGAAACCGGCAGCGAGTGAGCTAGCAAGCGCGTTCGCGAATAAATTCGACGGAAAGATCAGCGGACTTGAATAAATCTGACAAGCTGAAACCAAGAGGGAGCAGAATGAATTTGAAATCTCGAAACAATTTGTGATAGCGAAGGGTTCGAAGTATAATCGCGCGGAGAAGTGAACTCTCACGATACCTCGAATTGCGCTCGCTGTGTGCGAAAACGTACGTTGCATTGAAAAAGAAAGAAAAGAAAAAGAAACAAAAGGAAACAACAGTCACTGTCGCATGAGTGATCTCACCAACGACAATTTTTTGGGGCAAGAGGGAACATCATTGTCAGACAATCAAGCGCATTCCTCAAACCACTAAAATGCGGGTGCGTTCACAAACCGGTTAATCACAAACACCAAACCGCTCTACCCGACCACAACAACGTGTTCTGGTCCGCTACTGTAGTCTGCTTCGTTACAACCAGTGTTGGGCAGTATCTAGATACATTTTGCGCATCTGAGCTGGTATCTGAGATACATACGAATCGGGGTGTCTGTGTCTAGATACAAAACTTAGCATCTGAACGGCTTTTCAGATATATTTTCATGTCTTTTTTGTTGATAATAGAAAACAATTATCGTGGTAATGAAGAGTTCAGCATGCACTCTTGATTTGCTGCAGGGAGAAAACTATTGTTATTTAGGATACGTTTTGCCACAACTTAAAATTAATTTGCAGACACTTCACGAATTACCTAGTTGCGAACCTTTGAGAAATAAATGGCTCTAATAGATGGCATTGACAAAAGATTCAGGAATATTGTATTGAATTTTGACGGTATATGTAGTAAACCTTACGTTATTTCATCTGTGATTGTTCCTAAACTTAAGTTGAAATGGCTAAACTTGATTCCAGAAGCAGGGATTTTTTCAAAAACGACCCTGAACCACGAATATTGTGAAAACTTGCTTATTACAGAAGCGAAAAAATATGCGTATTTAAAAAATGAAACTAAAATATGGCTTCTGATAGCTCTTCAGCATCTTCCGTGGAAGATGAACAATTCTTTAAATTTTTAAAAGACCAAGATAACGTGGAAACAATTGACAGTGCCATCGGTATGGAAGTTCTTTCTTATTTGTCAGACAAGCAAAAAGATATCGCGTCGATAGCACGTTATCCTCATATGAAGCATTCGTTTTTAAAGTTCAACACGATTATATCATCATTAGCACCGGTTGAGCGTTTATTTAGCATTGGAGGTCAAATTTTAATACCGCGGCGAAATAGATTAAGTGACGATATGTTTGAGGCATTTTTGATATGTAAGACTATCGACTAATTTGTGTAATTTTCATGTAAACAAACAATATTAATAAATAACAAAAGATTTGTTCAGTATACTTTATACATATTATCATTACTACGATAAAATATAATTTAAAAGTAAAATATCTGATATATATATCTGAGATATTTTCAAGATATCTGAGCATCGGCATCTAGATACATTTTAATTTACATATCTGCATCTGTATCTGGATACAATTTTCTGCATGCGTTCGTGTCTGTATCGAGATACATTTGAAATGTATCTTGCCCATCACTGATCGCAACATCGTGCCCGTGTGCAGATCTAGGAAACACGGCTCACATTCGTCTACGAATGTTCTACATACTATCGACATCGATCGCATCTCCGTCTCCTTTACCCACGATCCCACGACGGACTTCGCGTGCCCACGATCGCAGTCGTGACGCAGCAGTGACACACGAATTAGCACGAGTGCGAGACGACTGTTGCGGTACGTTCGACTGACACAGGACTGAAAGGTCAATCACGAGAAACGAGGATCGCGAAACCCACTCGATACGAGGAGCCTGATCGCACGTGGTAACCAGAGACGAAGGGTGTTGCTCCGAGAGCAAGAAGGAATTTTTCAGACTCGCGACTCGCGGACGATCTGAACGTTTTCGAAGTCCGATTCACAGCACGAATTTTTTCCTTAAAAAATCGCTCCTTTTTACATTCCAATCTCCCACGATGTTTAACGATGTCAATATCGCGGTATCGATTTCCCTCCAGCCACCCGCTCCCTCCCCTATCTCTTGCTGAAAGAAGTCTTCAGTCTGTATTTTCGCGAAAAAATTTATATCCTTCCAAAAAAATATTTTTAAACCGTTTTTTGGTAATCTTTAACATTCTCAATATTTATTGGGTTGTCCGGAAAGTAATTTCGGTTTATTGCAAGAAAATGAAAGCCGATATTTTTAATAAAAAAAAAGTTTTATTCTGTTAAGTATTGACTATTTTGCTCTAATACCTTTTGCCATCTTCCAGGTAATAACATGATTCCACGCTCGTAGAGCTTCTAGTCCTTATTGGCAAAAAATTGAATTAAGTAGTTTCTGACACCTTCATTTGAATCGAAATTTTTATCATCCAAAGAATTTTGCAGTGATCGAAACAAGTGATAATCGGATGGTGCCAGATCAGATGAATATGATGGATACGGCAGCAAATCCCATTTAAACGCTAACAGCTTCTGGCGAGTTATTAAATTTGTGTGAAGTCTTGTCATGAAACACATCTTTTCTGTTCGCCAATTCTGGTCTCTTCTGCTTGATGGAATCATTTAATTTGTCCAATTGATGACAATACACATTTGAATAAATCATTTGATAGTTTGGTAGCAACTAAAAAAAAATTATTCTTTTCCAATCCCACCAAACACATAACATCACCTTCTTTTGATGGATATCAGCTTTCGATGTGCTTTTGAGCCGGTTTATTACGTCTGCTTCATGATCTTTTGCGTTTAATATTGTTGTACATGATCCATTTTTCATTTCCAGTTACGAGTCGCTTCAGAAATGGATCGTTTTCCTCATGTTTCAACAGCAAATCGCAGATAGTAATGGGACGAATCAAATCTCTTTCTTTGAGAACATGTGGAACCCAAATTTCGAGCTTTAAAACGGAACCAAGTTGTTTCAAATACTCATGTACGGTCGAATTCGATAAATTCAACCTCTCAGCAATTTCTCATGTTATTAAATGATGATTTACATCCACTAATGCCTTTATTTGGTCTTCATTAACCGCAACTGGCATTCCAAAACGTGGTGCATCTTTGAGATCGAGATTTCCAGAATGAAACCCAATTTCAAAAACCAATTCTGACACTGGCGTTCAGTCAATACATTCTCTCCATATGTGGCACACAATTTTTTTCTTCCTTGCGCTGCATTTTTGCCTTTACGGTATTAAAAAAGAATAAAATATGAAGAAAATGCTCACGTTGATTCTCCATGTTTTATGACGCCAAACAAAAACAGCTTGACAGATTCCAAAACAACTTTTTTTTTTCAAATGAAGCTTGAAATGTGCGTTGTAAAAATATAAAATTATTTTTTGGTTTAGAATGAGATTAACTGTTTAAAAAGGCAACTAATATCATCTACTTGAAAAAACCGAAATTACTTTCCCACCAACCCAATACTTCGCGTCGAATATCGGAGCGAACCTCTGATCAAGGCAAATTCGAGTGGAAATGCTGATGGCGATGGTAGGTCGAAATTCCACGATGAACGCGCACGACGCAGCTGGAGGAGGAAAATGATAACAATGCGAGAAGAATGTTATTCCGCGATAATGTTTGAAGTCCATCGTCGCACTTGATAAAACTTCAAATGAATCTCGAGGGCCGTTGAATAAGCACTTATTCCTTTTTGCTCCATCCGGCGCTCCATTCACTCGCGATGTCATCTTTTGATGAACGCTACCGGGCGAAGCTTCCTTATCGCAGGCCGCGTGCTTCAGGGGCGTTCGGTAAATCCTCTGATTTCCTCGGAAAGACCGCGCGCGTTTTCTCCTTCTCCCTCTCTTTCTCTTTCTCTCTTCCCCCTCAATGGAGAGATTCCAGCTGAATTATTATTTCACTCGATGCAATTCGAAAATTCGCTCGCGCGAAACACACTAACCTCCAGGATGACGCTTTCGCGAAAGAGAGAAGACTACCAATTCTCATTGACTAACGAAAAAAAAGACAAATAAAGAAGAAGAAATATGAGAGAGAGAAAGAGAGAGAAGAAGCTTCCCATAAACATAATCGCGATCTAGTAGCGTTCATATCAACCGGACCACTCGAGACTCGCGAGAGATTTCTCTTTCTATGAAGACTCTAGTCCTGGGCGAGATATCCTCATTGTTCGCGCGACATGACACGCAACGCGGGCACAGAAAGCGGGAAATTTCGTGCGAGTCTCGGCGACGGTCCGGCCGTACGTGATCTGTTTTGGTGTCGGATTTCCTTTACCTTACGAGACTTGGTCTGATACTCTTCGGCTTTGATCAGCTCGCCCCGTGCCTGGCCCACGTGGTCGCTGGTCTGATTGACGCAGTACTCAATGCAGTCCACCATTTCACCCTGCCATACCGCACGGGGAACCGGTAGGGAAGAAGGAGGGGAGAGGGAGAGAGAGAGAGAGAGAGAGAGAGAAAGAGAGGTATTCAAAGGGGCCAGGTGGGACCAGGTCGCTCGTCGAGGGGACAATCTCAGGAGACGGATGCATCCGGAGTTACATTCATGTACACATAACCGGCGAGTAGATAGAGAAGCGGCCCCCGGCGCAGGAGAGTGCCAGTAGAGTCCCCGGACATCGATATCGGCATCGGCATCGGCGACACATTGGTCGCGTTGCGATGTACTCGCGAACGCGCGCACGGTGCGCGTAAACGCGGCACCAAACGCGGCCGTACGCGCGTTGCGGGCGTGTGTATGTTATTTTTTTTACACATCGATGCGACATACACAGTCACAGGTTACATTAGCGATCCGTTAAAGTATCGACAGCATAGGTTAGTACGCAAGGTTAGTAGTATGAGTAAACAGAGCAGTTTACGGACAGAGGCACAATTAGCACACCCATGTTTCGACAGATGACAGAGAGAACGGTTACGGGTATATGTATAATATACATGTATATATATAAGTATAGAAAAAAATACAGAGAGTGGGAGAGAGAGAGAGAGTTACACGCATCATACACACACACACACACACACACACACACACGCACGCGCGCGCATACACAACACACACACACACACACGCACAGCAGACAGATAGTATATATGTATATAGTATAGTCATGGTATATATATGGTATATATATACATTAAAATATATACGCCATTTATATTATTTGGTCGCCGATCGTCGACACAGAAATGCCAACCACCGACAGAGTACGAGTAGTGGCATACAGACGAACAGAGAAAAGAAGAAAAACAAGAATATCCACCAAGCGTCGTCGTTAGTTGTTTACGCGTCGTGGATCAGGATTGGTCAGGTGGGGCGAATAAAATGGTTGTGGAGCAATTGTACATCGATTAGTAGCGAGATACAGGTATCAACGAAAGCGGGGGTGAGTAATCAGCAGCGAGTAACGCAAATAACAGCGCGGGGGTAGTTTGATAAGAGGGTAGCGGACACGGGACGGTGAGAATCAAAGTGACAAGGAGTCATGAGGCATCACCCGAGTCGATCGGGTCGGAGTGAGGTGTAGCGGTGGTGAGGTGTGGTGTAGAGTGTGGTGGTGTGGGTGGTGAGGTGAGAGTGGGAGATGGTAGGGGGAGAAAAAAAAATGACCAATTAGACGCGCACGAAATGCCGAGATTCTTGCGCGTGACATCTGGGGAGGACTCACCCGTCGGGCTTTGCTTTGATACTTGAGTGCTTTTTTGGTGTCCTGCGTGGCCGTCTGCACGTAGTCCACCGCGTGTTCCACGTGGTACTCTATGCGATCTATCATCTCGCCCTAAGGTAGGCGCGCAACCAATCCAACGCAGCGTAACACACACAGGGGAAGAGAGAGAAGAGTATGGTTAGTACGCGAGAGAATGAAGGCGCAGACTGGGTGTATTTGAGACCGCAAACCATCCCACGATCCGTATCACATCGCCACGTGCAGTGTTGGGTAGTATCTAGGTACATTTTGTGTACCTGACCCTATATCTTGCGAGCTGCACTCGAATTAGAATATATGTATCTAGATACAAAATGTAGTATTTGAACGACGTTCCAGATACATTTTCGCGTATTTTGGTCGATTACGGAAAACAATTATCGTGGTAATGAAATGTTTAGCATGCACTCTTGATTTGTTACAGGGAGGAAACTATTGTTATTTAGGATCCGTTGTATCAGCTTTGCTGCAACTTAAAATTAATTTGCAGACACTTCACGAATTACTTAATTGCGAACCCCTGAGAAATGCTCTAATAGATGACATTAACAAAAGATTCGGGAATATTGTATTGAATTTTGACGTTATATGTAGTAAACCTTACATTATTTCATCTGTAATTGTTCCTAAACTTAAGTTGAAATGGCTAAACTTGATTCCAGAAGCAGGGATTTTTTCAAAAACGACCCTGAACCACGAATATTGTAAAAGCTTGCTTATTACAGAAGGGAAAAATATGCGTATTTAAAAAATGAAACTAGAATATGACTTCTGATAGCTCTTCAGCATCTTTCGTGGAAGATGAACAATTCTTTAAATTTTTAAAAGACCAAGATAACGTGGAAACAATTGACAGTGCCATCGGTATGGAAGTTCTTTCTTATTTGTCAGACAAGCAAAAAGATATCGCGTCGATAGCACGTTATCCTCATATGAAGCATTCGTTTTTAAAGTTCAACACGATTATATCATCATCAGCACCGGTTGAGGGTTTGTTGAGGTTATTTAGCATTGGAGGTCAAATTTTAATACCGCGGCGAAATAGATTAAGTGACGATATGTTTGAGGCATTTTTGATATGTAAGACTATCGACCAATTTGTGTAATTTTCATGTAAACAAACAATATTAATAAATAACAAAAGATTTGTTCAGTATACTTTATACATATTATCATTACTACAATAAAATATAATTTAAAAGCACCTGATATGTATCTGAGAATCTGAGATTTCATATATCTGATATCTTTTTCAAAATATTTGAGCATCTGTATCTAGATACATTTTAATTTATATATCTGTATCTGTATTTAGTAGAGATGTGCGAACTATTCGAATCCGAATTCCTATGACTCGAATCCGAATAATTTGAAAATTTCGAATCGCGAAGATTCGAATACGAATCAAATACATTAGCGTTTGCGCGCATCAGCTACAAAACGACCATCTGAGCCTGTATGTTTGAACCCTTGTAATTAACTTAACTTATAATTAATAACTTAATTATAAATTACTTTAAATATTTAAATATATATTTTACTTTAAGATGATGGCGAAACTTCCGAAAGCGGCCATGCTCCGATTTCAACCGAACTTAGTGAAAAGCTATGTTATAAGTTAAAAAAGAAAATTATAAAAGGGTTTTTGGCGACTCAAACGTTAAATGGTTTTTTAAACAATTTTAAGTTGATCAGTACTTTTATCATATTTTATGTCCACATATTAAAACTTAAACACGATTAACGCAATCGGTGGCAACAAATAAAAAAGATACCAAAAAGATTTTTTATAACTCAATATATTGGCGGAGGCAGAAAGGAAACATTGGAAGTAAGAGGGAGTACACGTAGCGCACCGTACCAAACGCACTTGCAACTTACGAATTTACGAAACTTTTTTGGTCAGTGTAGCACGCATCTGATCTAACACGTAAGTTCCAAGTACGTTTAGCAGGGTGCGCTACGCGCCCCCCCACCCCGCCCACCTACCCTTCGCCCCATACGTCATCCGCCCGCCCTCGTCACAAATATGCCCAGTGCACGAATGCACGAGTGCACATATTAGTATAGTGAATAGCACTACGCACGCGATTGTTGACTACGCTCTGTTAACTTTGAATCGTAGACATAAAATAGATATAAGATATGATATAAAATAGATATAAAATATGATAAAAATACTGCTCAACTTAAAATTGTTGAAAAAAACCACTTAACGTTTGAGTCGTCAAAAATCCTTTTATAACCTTCCATTTTAACCTATAACATAGCTTTTCACCAAGTTTGGTTGAAATCGGAGCATGACCGCTTTCGGAATAACAGCCAAGATGATATTATAATATCAACATTCTTTTTCATATTAAAATCTTCCATCATTATTCGCAGTTTAATAGTCATGTTAAATTTTTTAATGATTTGACTCGATTTTATTCGATTCGAATTCGAATTTAAAAAATAAGATTCGATTCGACATAAAAATTCTTGATTCGCACATCTCTAGTGTCTAGACACAATTTTTCACATATATCTGTATCTGTATCGAGATACATTTGACATGTATCTTACCCAGCACTGGCCACGTGTTTGTCGTGTCGTCCAGTCGTCCGACGGCGCACCGGAATGCATCGACGTACGAACGAACGAACGAACGAACGAACGACCGAGGAAAGTAATGGACCGCCGACAAACAACGCGGTGGAGTATCAACAGTGGCAGCGGTGGTCGTGGTGGTGGTGGTAACTCGGACGTTTACGAAAACACAAGAGATTTGTGAGGAAAAGGGGAAACTCTGTACGAGCGTATTTAATCGTGAGATAACTCGCGTTACAATCTCCCGTTACAATGCGCAACAACGCATTGCCGGGACGGAGTTGCCGGAGAGAGCGATTCAATATTTTCAGCCGCATCGCAAGCAGCATCGCGCACGGACGGACGGAGCTTTTACGCGGAAGTTCAGTTAATAATCCGAGATTGTTGAGATTTCGCCAGTCGCAAAGGGAAGAAAGACCGTTTGGTCGCGGGCGGGGTGAAACGTTGCGGTAATTACTTTGCCTGGTCGTGCAATACGGGATTGTCGGCTTGGATAAACGATAACGCGAAGTAATCGGTTAATATTTATTATTATTATTATTATTATTATTATTATTATTATTATTATTATTATTACTGTTATTGCTATTGTCATTATTGCTATCATGCAAAGGAAAAAGCGCAATGCGTGCTGAGACTTCGAGTTTTCCGCCGGTAATGACCAACTGTTTCGCGGAAGAAGAAAATGTGCGATTGATACGAGATAAATTTTCAGCGCAGAGCGAACTTGAGGTCTCAGCCACATCGAAAGGATTTCCCCTTCCGGGCCGCAATATTACCGAAGACAGAAGGTGGGGCTGATGTTACACTGCGTCGAGCTACGCTCCTAATTGGCTTTCATTCATCATTATGTAAGAGTAATCGCGGGCAATCAATGAAAAAGTAAGGTTGACCACGAAACGAAAGTGCCTTTCAAATTATCATGTCAATTAACTCGGCAACGAGAACGACTTAATTGTCGGTCGCTTACGTTTGGCCGATCGTCGAGGAACGATGCCGCTCAAGCATCTCCCAATAAAGCATCTCAATCGTTAATCAAATCGATAGTTCTGCAGGAAAATTGAAACGTGCATCTGAGAGAGGAAAAGGAGGGGGAGAAAAAAGAGAGAGAGAGAACAATCGAATGAATTTTCTCAATTCTCCAGGACGTTTCCACGCCTTTGCATGCGTTTGCACAGTTGAGGTGAAGATCACTTCGGTTCGCGAGCGGAATGGAATTTTTCTCTGATGTGATAAATAAGAAAGAGCGAATCGATTTTTTATTCGTCCACTAAATTTCATTCGACGTCAATGTGAGAGATTCCCATAGGGAGAGGGGGGGGGTATACAAGGTCAGCCAAAAGCCTAGACTCAAATATCTCGTAAAAAATGCAATTTTGAGAAAAAAATTTCAGACAAAAGATGTAAGATTTAAAATGACGCATTCAATGATAACGTCCATTTGACTCTGCGTGGCGTTGCCAAGGTTAGATCAAGGTCAACTTAATTTATTTAAACAGGACCTCCTAATTTTTTTGCATATTATTATAGTTCATTTCGAGAGTTTTTCAGAATAAAATATTTTTTCATGAAGTACTTTCCGAGTTATGAAATTTGCAGTTATCACCGGCATTAACATTACTCAAGGTGTATCGCGTGAAGGTTACACGGTCAGATTTATCTCTAGTATGTGTGTTTTAAGTAAACTTTAGAAATGTTTCATTATTTATAGGCCGTTGTTGAAACACAGTCAAGTTTTATTCTAGCATCTATTGCTTCGCTTACTGACATCGAAAATAGCTGCGGTTGACGCGATCGATTCGGTTCGCACAATGCTTATGTTTCTTTTCGGTTTTAAATATACAGGGTGTCCCATTTTAAAAAACGCACCTCGATAATTCTTCAACGAAGCATTTTCAGCAAAAATGTTTCGGACAACAGTTGTACGATTTCAAGATTTGTTTTATGTCCCCCTGGACATAAAACAACTATACTATTTTGTTTACAAATAGCACCACTTTCGAGATATTTACTGATCATTACTTTTCTTAAATGGAAACCCTAATTTTTTATTACATCGTTTTTTTCTACCGATTAATTTAAACAACTTTTGTCTCAAACATTTCTTTATTTGCCTAATATTTTTTGAGATATTTAAGGAAAACTTGATAACTTTTTCAATATTTAACTCACGATATCTCACTAACTATTTGTCAGAAGAAAAAATAGTACTAGATGTTTTTGCTTTATTTAATCTTAAGAATATATTGTTATAATAGTGCCCTGACTTTTGTTAACTTACTGACTTGAAAATTTCAAAATCATCAAATTAACAAAAGTCATGGCGCTATTGTAACAATATATTCCTGAGACCAAGTAGAGCAGAAAAGTCTAATACCACTTTTTTTTCCGACAAATAGTTACCGAGATATCGTGAGTTAAATATTGAAAAAGTTATCAAGTTTTGTTCAAATATTTCAAAAAATATTAGGTAAATAAAAAAATGTTTTTTAAATTAATTGCTAAAAAAAGACGGTGTAATAAAAAATTGGGGTTTCCATTTAAGAAAAGTAATGATCAGTAAATATATCGAAAGTGGTGCCATATGTAAACAAAATAGTATAGTTGTTTTATGTCCCCCTTGAAGTCATATAACTTTTGTTCAAAACATTTTTGCTGAAAATGCTTCGTTGAATAATTACCGAGGTGCGTTTTTAAAAATGGGACACCCTGAATATGAATGATTAAAATTCGAGATATTTGAAAATGTTTGTAGCAATTTTTATCATCGAAAATAAATTAGTGTGCAAAGCAACAATAGTTGCAAGGATAAAACTTTGATAAAACTTAACTTTGTTTCAACAGGAGCTTCAATAATTAACGTTTCTAAAGTTTATTTAAAACAGGTACACTACGGATGTAAATCCGACTATGTAACCTCTACGCGATACATCTTGGGTAACGCTGGTACTGCATCATTCAAGTCTTATAAATATTTAATAAAAGAAAATATTGGTAATTATGCATATTTCTTACTACTTCCCCATTTCAATGATATTGAGACATGTTATCAAGGTTATTAATCCTGAGCAATGTTGTGAAAGTAACTTGTGAAAGTCCGCGCTCATTATTTATAACAAAGTTATTAATAAAAGAAATATAATGAGTAATTTTCTAATAAACCGTGTATAAATGTTATGCTTGTTACAGTGTTTGCCGAGTAAAGATTAATTTGTTTATTTTCTTTCTATGTTTCTATTTGGTTGGTGAAAAAATAATTACAGTTTTATCATTTTAAGTTTGGCGCCGATTTTTCTAGTTACCGTCATTTTTTCCAGAATTCTATCTTGCAGGAATAAACAAACTTGCTTCCCTTTGGGAGAAATGTGTGCAGGTCAATGGTCTTCATTTTGATTAATAAATATAATTTTTAACTGATATATGCGTCTTTATACTCATAAAAACCACAATTATTTTTGTAGTAACCTAATTTATATTGGTATATATATATAAAATATATGGTATTTACCCTTTTCTATGTTATTGATATTCATTGCTTTAAATTAAAAATTATTCTAGATAAGATGAATCAATACAGAATAGCAGAGGCTCTGCCCCTCCCCCTGTACCCCTTTTCTACTCTAAAACTAACCTAACCTCTGCTTTTAGTGACTGTGTAATATTTCTCCGTACAATTTAACATGTTAATATTTATATAAAGAAATATTATATAGTTACTAAAAGTAGAAGTTGGGTTGGACTAGTTTTTGAGTGAGGAGGGATGGAGCTCCTCCCCCGTTCATGCATATACTGCTTAATATATTATAATATACATTGTGTCGAAAAGTTACATTTAGTTTAAGAAAGTTCTTTTATTAATAACTTTGTAATAAACAATGAACGCAGACTAAAACTTTCACAACATTACTTAAACCTTAATGATCTTGATAACACATCTCAGTATCATTGAAATTGGGAGATGGTCCTTATCTCTGCAGAATTACTGAAATACTTAATTATAGTGTTTTGAAATAAGCTACGATAATATGTAATCAAAGGCAGAGGGTTCCATTTAAATAAATCAAGTTGACCTTGACCTGACTTTGACAACGCCACCCAACGTCAAATGAATATTATCATTATCTTTTTAAACTTTACAACTTTTGTCTGAAACTTTTCTTTCAAAATTGCATTGTTTTCGAGATACTTGAGTGTATCCAGACTTTCGGCTCATTCTGTATATCCGCATTCTGAGAAACGCAACTGCGATCTAATCTATAATTTTTCTCATAAATACGAAGAAATCTATGCAGACGCATTTTTCGTCGTGTCAATCAGTCAGTAGAGATGTGCAAATTCGAATTCGAATTCGAATTGAATCGAATCGAATCTAATGTAATTCGATTCAATTAGAATCCGAATCCCTATGATTCGAATCCGAATAATTTGAAAATTTCGAATCGCGAAAATTCAAATACGAATCAAATACATTAGCGTTTGCGCACATCAGCTACAAAACGGGCCATCTGGGCCTATATGTTTGAACCCTTAACTTGTAATTAACTTAACTTATAATTAATAACTTAATTATAAATTACTTTAAATATTTAAATATATATTTAACTTTAAGATGATATTACAATATCAATATTCCCTTTCATATTAAAATCTTCCATCATTATTTGCATATTTAATAGTCATGTTAAATTTTTTAATAATTCGATTCGATTTCATTCGATTCGATTGAAATTCGAATGAAATTTCATACATTCGATTCGATTCGAATTAAAAAAATGAGATTCGATACGAATCGACATAAAAATTCTTGATTCGCACATCTCTATCAGTCAGTCAGTTAGTCAGTGAATCAGTCAATCAGTCAGGCCTCTCTCTCTCTCTCTCTCTCTCTCTCTCTCTCTCTCTCTCTCTGTCCCTCCCTCTTTTCGCCAGATGCACGTGCGAATTATGTTAATCACGCGACAAACGCAAAAGTCACATTCGTTACGAACTGCCGTGAGATTAACGTCAATGTTTGCGATTGCGACCCAATGACAGTTGATACGATTCCCGCGATAACGCGGCTTTAATTACCGTTATTACTATTAGGCTCTCGATACGCGCATATACATATGCGAAATAATAACGTATCAATATCGCGTAATAACGAAAATCTCCGCTAATATTAAACGTATTTGCGACGCGTGAACAGACAAAATCGCGAGCATAAGCCGCAGTCTGCGATAGCGGCGATAACGTGTTTTCGCGCTTTACCGAACGATAAAAAGACCGAAATTATATCCACGATAAATAACATCAAGATAAAATCAATCGTCTTCACGTTGATCGACGTGAACCTTTTTCCTCTTCCACGCGCCGTTACGTCTCGCGAAGTGAAAAGAACTGCCATGTCTCCAAAAAAGACCCGGATGCCATTGTCGTTCGTCAAAAAGGAGCAAACAATTTTTTCTCCGGGATATATGAGACTGTTGGACTGTACCTGACTCTCGACCAGCATAGCCATGTCCATGAACATGTCGTGGAGCTCCCTGATCGAGTTTTCGAGTTTAATGATGTCAGCGTGACGCGCTTCGATGTCCGCGAGGGTTTGTTTTGCTTGCTGCGTCTCCATAATGATCTGCGAGAAGCGGCAAGATTAATTGCACAGTAGGAAAGAGGCGAGGCCGATTATTAACCGCTCCTCGGAGCGTATAAGTACACGCGAGAGAAGGATCATTAAGGATGTACCCCTTGCGTGAAGACGGCTGGATTTCCTTGCTCTAACATTTCCTCCAGCTCCTCATTAGTGGTCGTTCTCCCCGCTGAAAGCAAAAATATCCTCCTTTGTCTTTCGCGGAACGGATGCAACGATCGCGATCCGATCGGTATTGCCATCGAGTCGTCGCCGTCGCTGTGTTAAGGGGACTTTATAGTCCAGAGTGCTCAAAAAAAGGTAAATTTAGGAATTTTTTTCTAGGAAACTACAACTCCGATTAAATTAAAATTTTTGGGGGGGGCGGTTGGGAATTTTACACATATTTAATGAAGAAATATAAGTTTCTACAAAGCATTTCATTTAGATTTGGCTGAATTATGCGCCGTTTCGCACGAGGCATCGCGTATTGTCACGATTTGCCGTTGACATCCTAATGCTCGTTTGAGTGATCTGAAGCACAAATGTAAAGCATCCTTTTTCTCTACATTGTTTTGACTGGCCATTCTTTGTAGTATCTAGTAGGGGCTTTCTTTGTAGTATCAGCACTCTTGACTTCCGCATGTATGAATCGCCATTTGTCCGCGTAATCAGCAAACAACTTACATTGTTGACCAATAATTATTCCCATCATCGTCTCCATATCTTTTAGAATGGTAACGTAACCCTCGTTAAACACTCCTGCAGCCAAATATGCACAAGATTTGAGAAAGAACTGAGTTCGAACGACCAGTAGAGATCACAATCTTGCTGAGGATATACACACATATAAAGACCACTATACACGTAAAAGATCCTGTTTCTTTGTTTGTTTGTTTGTTTGTTTGTTTGCTCTGTTCTTTCGACAACAAAAAATTCCTACTTGCTCCGATACATACCTGACAGCATCGAACGATCGGACGTTAAATCGCTTATAACTTCGTTAATACTTCGAATTTCGAAAAATCGCTACACAAACATATATAACATACTTAAGATATGGTACTATAAAAATACGTAAAGAAATTTTTTTCCAATTTTCTGAAAGTTCTGGACCATAAATTCCCCTTAACGCCCGCCTACACACGTCCACTCTCAATGAACGTTCGTCGTAATTATTGTCCATCACATTCTATTCTATCGTTATAACGCGCCATTAAAACTCGCAGAGCAGTGATAATCTCTGCACACTGTGCAATAACGTGTGGAAAATTTCGATGGAAAATGCAGGAGGGAAGTTTTTACAATCGCGAACTCCGCGCGATCGCCAATGAGAGAAATAAAATCTGCATAATGACTATTTCGCGTTTCTTTTTCTCCCCCGTTGTCCTCCGCCCGGACAAAAGGAAAACGCGAGCATTACGCTGATGAGCGTGTGTCCCGAAAGCAGTGGGCGGGCTCGATGCAACAACAGATTGGAAAGGGCTGTTCCACTCGAACAGGCATTCGGGCTGAATGCGCGGTCAATCGTGACACATATATACTCACTGATCTCGAGCTGTCGTTGTATTCTCCCCTTACACCGTTCCCTGTAATCGGTCTGTGTCCGATTATACTCCGTCATCACCTCGACGAACTTCCTGGACAACGTCGAATGCTGGGTTTTGCGTATCCTCAGGTCCGCCGACGATTTGTTCGTATGTTCCTCCTGCTCGATGTTCTGCTCTATCACTGGTCGCGAGAAACAGAAATTAGTTCCCTATGTCGCGCGGCGTGTTGCATTCAATTGAATGATCGATCGATCGCGGCTGAGATATGGCGTACAGTGAGTCGATTCAAATCCAGACATAGACTGAAATTTTTTGTTGGCTACACTGTGAAAAAATTGTATTAAAATTAAACAAATATTTGTTCGAATACGATTGTGAATATATTTATTTAAATTAAGCAATTATTTTCTAAAATTCAAGAAAAAAGTTTACATTCAGAACCTCTATATTTCATTTTAGAAATTGGTCGCTTAATTCGAATAAATGTATTCACAGTCGTATTCGAACAAATATCTGTTTAATTTTAATACAATTTTTCTCAGTGTAAAAATACTTTGAAAATGACTCTAATTATCGTTCAAAGATTTATTAAACTAAATATGAAGTAAAAAGTTGAAACAAAAGTATTTGTTATTGATATGTACATAAAACATGTATAGACATAATATTTATAGAGAATCTAATTATATATCTAAGGTATCTATTTAAAGTAATGCCATATATAAACATTAATATTATTTGCAATGACACTTTTCTACTTTTGTCCTTAGTTAGAGCTACTAGAATCAATTATTAAGATTCAAAATTTGTTCTTGTCAAATAAAAAACTTGATGTACCTTAAAAGCATCTTCTGAACACGAGAATTTAAAATTCTCGAAGATGTATAAAAAAAGTCTTAAAAGATCTCAAGAAATTTCTTTTTGGAGAATATACAGGAACCCTCCCTTAACGTAATAGGTTCATTTATGTTTGCATCTCTTTGCTCCTTTTCGAGAAAAAACGAAATTTTGTATGAACGGAACTCAACTAGACTTCAATCAGAGATGACAAATGGATAGCGATAATAGGATATAGACCTCTAAAGGTAATAAATCCACGCATTCTCTTTCAATTTGCAACATTTCAGTATTTTTAGTGTATTTTTATTATTATTTTAATTGTTTTTGTATTTTTTCATTATTTTACTTTTTGTAATTTTTGTTATTTATTATTTTTTTATATTTTTTCTACTTTTATTGTTTTTTTGTATTTTTTATTACTTTTTGTTATTATGTTTTTATTATTATTTTGTTATATAATTATTATTAATATATTATATATATGTTAATAATAATTATATAACAATATAATAATAATAATAAAAACGTAATAACAAAAAATACAAGAAAATACAAAAAACAATAAAACTAGCAGAAAAGTAAAAAAAATAATAAATAAAAGTTACAAAAAGATAATAAAATAATGAAAAAATACAAAAACAATAAAAATAACAATAAAAATACAATAAAAATATTGAAAAGTTGCAAATTGGGAGAGAATGCGTGAACTTATTACGTTTAGAGGCCTATGCCCGAGTTTTGCTGTACTTCGACCCACTATGTGGCGGGACGATCCGGAGGGACGCTTCCCGGTATCTCCTCGCGCTATCGCAATCGAACTGCTGAACTGGACTTACCCTTTAACTTGGCTCTCACTTTGTTAGCAGTTTTCTTGATGTCGGACATCAAGTCTTCGAGTTCCATTTTCACCTCTGAAACAGAATGAAACATCGACGTGGTTATTCGAGTGTTACAGATCCCCGGGAGTTCGCGGATTCGTCATTTCTTAATGCACATTGAGCCTCGCGGCGAGGGAGTGGAAAAGTTCTATTCGGGATTAGGAATGATGAGTCACGCGGAGTGTCGTTTAAGAAATGCACGAGATATTATTACTGCGAAACGACGCTCGCGTGCTTCTCTATTTGACGAATTTCCTTCGCGATGTGTAATCGATGTGGCGGCGAGTCTTACATGCGCGAGTAATGAGCAGGACGCAACTCCTCGTCGGTAATCATTGAAAGACGATGACGGGAGATGCACAGGATATAACATCAACATGTAAGTCAGTATGACGGGTTGCCTGCCCCTATTAAGACGATAATGCAGAGATTGCCGAAAAGGTCACTCGTTAATCGATGACTTTGTTGATAATAATATTTGGAGTGCTCCCAGTTATGACGGGTGCAACTAACTCTGCATCGTGATCGTGAAAAAGATAAAACTAAAAGAAAAACATTACGGATTTGAACAGAGTAAAGAAGAGTAGGAGATAAATGATCCAACATATTTTCTTGTTTCACGTAATTTCTTTATTTCTTTCTTGTGTTGAAAAGTTCGATAGGAATAGAAAGAATGGTATAGAAATATTTAGAAGTTTTATATACTATATACTATCCATGTCTCTGCAAAAGATCGCTTCTGATCGACGACAACTATCAGCCCTATCTTCGACAAAAGAGGTGTCGAGATATAAGATTATGACATACCGGAAATAATTGTCGTTTGACAGTTGTCGTCGATTAAGTTGCAATCAATATTTACGCTGCGTTTCTGATCGACTCATACTTTTGCAGAAATGCAGAATGATTTGTAGAAACATGGATGGAATATAATATATAAGACTTTTAAATATTTCTATACCGTTCTTTCCAACCTCCAATTCCTACCAAACTTCTCGACGCAAAAAAGAAATTAAGAAATTGCGCAAAAAAATATATCTCCCTTTTGACACTCTGTTTTCTATATTTACTACTTGTTTTGTTTTTTTTTTTAAGTTGAGCATATATTTTATTCCCCTAAGTCGGTTGCTCTACCCAGGCTTAGGTGGTACAATACAGCTTAGATGGTGCATGTAATAATCTTAGTACAAAGTATTCAATTGTCTATCCCTTAACACTTATAAGTTTTTTTTCTTTCTTCCTTTTTTATTTTTTTTCTTTTTTCCTTTTTATTTTTTTTCTTTTTTCCTTTTTAATTTTTTTTCTTTGTTCCATCTTTATTTTTTTTTCTTTTTTCCTTTTTTATTTTTTTTAATGCGAATATATTTTTTATCCCCCTAAGTCGGTTGCTCTCTGGCCGGGCTTAGGTGGTGGTATTAGAATACCGCATTTTCTTCCATACAACTCTGTGTTTATCCACGCTTACAGATAGGTCAGCCACTGAGAGGTACTCATGGTGGGAGTCGGCCATAAGTGGACCCACTGTTTAACGTCTCTTCCGAAAGACGGAGCCCAGTTTTCCATTTAGGGTTTCCTCTTACCACTAAAGGAGGAGCGCAGGTTCTTCTTTTAATGTCCTAGCAGGATTCGAACCCGGTCTTCCGGATTACGAATCTGGCGCTCTACCTGCTAGCCACGCTGCGCTCCTGAAAGTGAGCATAGAGATCTAAGGGAATGTGCTGTATTGTTTATCCGCTTAACTATTGCTCTCATTTATTCTGCTTAAATATTTATTTCTCAGTTTCACTTTCTTAAACATTTTTTTTAATTCAATGAGGCTCGACTCTTGTCATAAACGGTCGATAAACTGTCATAACGATCACACTGCAAAGTTGTCGCACTCATCATAACTGAGAGCATTGCAAATTATCGACAATCATCGTTATCAACAAAGTCAGGGAATGATTTTTTCGTCGTTTTTCTGCATTATCGTCCGAATAGAGGCAGACAATCCGTTATATTGACCCATATGTTGATGTTATACCCTGTATATAATGATGCCGAATAACTTCCTTGTCCTTGAAACGACATATTCTTCGGCGAATTCTGAAACGATTTTTCCACTTGCAGAATATTATCCCGAGTCCAGTTCTTGAATTACTAAGATAAGTAGTTTGCCTGTTGCGGGTCGAATATAGGAAGTAGACAAGGAGCGGCACAAGTAGCACCGTCAGATGCAGATGTTGACGTTGAGCGCTTGGTGTGATGATTTTATTGATGCATGTCATAACATTGTGTACACATCATTTTTATAACTTTCGTTAATGACCATGGGCATCGTACCCTCCGCGTGTCGCAAAGTCTGCGAAGCAGTCATGCATTTCTCTCCTATGCAAACATAAATGATTACACAGCGAAATGCGATAACTGACAATGATATTGTTCAGCATGAACACGTTAAAATACTCGCTAAATAGCTAAGAATTAATACGGTCGTAATAGTAAATGAAGTGTTTCTAATTAATAGGATACAATCATAACGTAATGTTTGAGGATATAATATTTTATTACGGGAACATTGAAAAAAAATGTGCAGAATACCAACGAGAAAGACGGAGTGTTAATCATAGTTTGAAAAGCATAAAATATTCTTACTTTTAAGAAACCGACAAATTTGTATTCCTTTATAAAGATGATTTATTAGGGATGTGATTTAGTTCAGAGAGTCTTGCAAGAGATAGCACTAATGTTAGTTTTGTCGAAAATATTCCAATCACAGCTATTGTTTCCTATTGTTTTAATACTAATACACGACATTTAGTCATTTACCAACAATAGATGCAATAAAAATCGTGTTAATACCATCTTAGAAATGAAGCTTTTTCGACATGCGCTGCTTTTCTTTTTTAAGAAAACGGCGGCTGAAGGTCGTAGAATTCTGATAGAAACTTGTGGTGATGTTGCTCGATCAATTAAGGGGTCAGACCGGTATAAAGATTTCAGAATATGGAACAAAAGATCCCAAATATAAATTCATGTTGGTTTCCGAGTTACAGAGCCTACAACGGGCGTACAGCCGGCCTATAAGAGGCTCGTACCTGCGCGCCGGCCGCTAAGAATTGGCCGTGCGCATCCTAACAGGCTACACAGGTCTAGCAGGTCAGAATACTGGTATTGTGTATCCTCTCTTAAGTGGTTATACTCAAAATTCGTACGAGAGCCTGAACGTATTAATTTGGACCTTTGCTCCAAAAACAACATTTAGTGGTGCTAAAGATGCGTTGAAATTGTTGTCAATATTGCCAGCAGCACATTACGGTGTTTCAAGCATTCTTTTAATGATGAATATAGTCATCGGAGCCATTACAGCAAGCATTTGCGAAGCCTTGGGCGAAAAAAGAATTTCGACCGTTGTGGCATGCATGTTCAAGGCATATAAAAAAGGTCGTATTTCAAAGTGGAAGAGCAAAACAGAAAGCAATGATGAGGAAGACAATTATTACGAAGCTGGCATGGCAGATTAACGGCAAAAACAAGAAAGTTTGCACTATATAATATAAAGACTATGTTGTTAAACTTTAAATGCGTTTTTCTCGAACCTCGTTTTTCAAACTGGTATCAAAGGTTTCTCGGGATGTATTCATCGGATTGATTCGAATTTTGGTTTTCTATTATTCTTATAGCTTTCTTTAAGGTTTTATCGAGGATTTTTACAATATCATTGTTATTTTGCAAAATATTAACAAATTCATTAACAATATTTGTGCCAGAAATCAAACCAAGAGTTCAAACATTGTTTTTTCAGTCAAATTTCAACAAATTTTGAATAAGCTCGGTCAATGGTTAGGGAATACAATACGCTAAAGTAATGTTATTCGTTTTTTGGTTTCAAGCGATCCAATATGGCTGAATCATCGACACCAATGATCGATGAGAAAGGAATTGACGTTTTATTACATTTCAATATATAAATAGGACTATAATAATTATTTTTCCTTTCACCTTGCATATTTTATACCTTCATTGTATACGCCTGTATAAATAAACTATTAAACCACAAGTTTACGCTTTTTTATTTCTTCAGCAATCCACGCTAAAAATTACTTATTTTTTCGGCCGGTCACACCGTCTGACCCCTTAAGACACGTGAATATTGGTTTAGACGATTCAAAAATACTGATTTCAATATTAACGACAAATATCGCTCGGGACAAGCAAAAAGCTTGAAAATGCAGATTTCCAAGCATCATCAGACGAAAATCCAGTACAACCTACTTCAGAACTTACCAGAGCATTGAATGTTGATCGTACAACAGTCAATAAACGTTTACATGATGGGGAAGATTCACAAAGAAGAAAAATGGGTTCTACATGAATTATCGGAAAATGCCGTTGTGAACCGGTTTAACATTTGCATTTCGTCGATCAGAGAAAAATGAAGAGTTTTTTGTATCGAGTTGTATCGAACTGGGGATGAAAATAGGATCTATTTAGATAATCCCAAACGAAAAGATCATGGATTGATGCAGGCCAACCAACAAAATCCACTTCGAGGCGCGACATTCACGGGTCAAAGATATTGCTATGCATTTAGTGAGATCAAGAAGATGTTGTGTACTACGATCTGTTAAATCCGAGTGAAACTGTCATCTCTAATCGTTACCAACAATAATTAAAGAAATTGAAGCGAGCATTGGACTAAAAACGATCATAAATTGCGAGTAAATGGCACAAAGTGATCCTTCTTCGCGACAATGCTCGATCTCATATTGCATTATTAGTGAAACGAACGCTATGACCACGTATTCTCCAGATGTTGCTCCATCTGATTATCACTTGTTCCGATCGATGCTCTAGAGAATACATACTCTAGAGAACACACTTTCATGATTTCAAAGTGCGAACATTTTTTTGAAAATTGAATCAACTCCACAGAAGAATCTTTTTATCATCGCGGAATCCATCTCTTGCCAGAAAAGTGGGACAAAGTTGTAGAAAACGAAGGAAAATATTTTGATTAAGGTATTCGTTCATTATGTTGTTTACATAAATCA